CTGCTGTTTTGTTCCTTCAGTTTTTCCTTTGTTCCTATACTCCTCAGATGAGTGAAATCATTTGGTATTTCTCTTTCTCCGCTTGGCTTATTTCACTGAGCATAATACTCTCCAGCTCCATCCATGTTGCTGCAAATGGTTGGATTTTTCCACTTCTTATGGCTGAGTAGTATTCCATTGTGTATATGTACCACATCTTCTTTATCCATTCATCTACCGATGGACATTTAGGTTGCTTCCAATTCTTGGCTATTGTAAATAGTGCTGCGATAAACATAGGGGTGCATCTGTCTTTCTCAAACTTGATTGCTGCGTTCTTAGGGTAAATTCCTAGGAGTGGAATTCCTGGGTCAAATGGTAGGTCTGTTTTGAGCATTTTGATGCACCTCCATACTGCTTTCCACAATGGTTGAACTAATTTACATTCCCACCAGCAGTGTAGGAGGGTTCCCCTTTCTCTACAACCTTGCCAACATTTGTTGTTGTTTGTCTTTTTGATGATGGCGATCCTTACTGGTGTGAGGTGATATCTCATTGTGGTTTTAATTTGCATTTCTCTGATAACTAGCGATGTGGAGCATCTTTTTATGTGCCTGTAGGCCATCTGGATTTCTTCTTTAGAGAACTGTCTGTTCAGCTCCTCTGCCCATTTTTTAATTGGATTGTTCGCTTTTTCTTTGTTGAGGTGTGTGAGCTCTTTATATATTTTGGATGTCAACCCTTTATCGGATCTGTCATTTATGAATATATTCTCCCATACTGTAGGATACCTTTTTGTTCTATTGATGGTGTCCTTTGCTGTACAGAAGCTTTTCAGCTTGATATAGTCCCACTTGTACATTTTTGCTTTTGTTTCCCTTGCCCCAGGAGATATGTTCATGAATAAGTCACTCATGTTTATGTCCAAGACATTTTTGCCTCTGTTTTTTTTCTAAGAGTTTTATGGTTTCATGACTTACATTTAGGTCTTTGTTCCATTTCAAATTTACTTTTGTGTATGGGGTTAGACAATGATCCAGTTTCATTCTGTTACATACAGCTGTCCAGTTTTGCCAACACCAGCTGTTGAAGGGACTGTCATTTCCCCATTGTCTGTCCATGGCTCCTTTATCGTATATTAATTGACTGTATATGCTTGGGTTAATATCTGGACTCTATTCTGTTCCAATGGTCTGTGGGTCTGTTCTTGTGAAGGGCTTTCTTTTATATTTGAACTTGAGCATCAGTTTATGTTGTCCCAGAAAAAAAGCCTATTTTTTTAAATAGAAATTGCGTTACATAGAAATTAACTTCACACCTGACTTATATATCACCTGGGGTCATCTTACACAAAAATACTTTGTTCAAGTATTTTTTAATCTTGATGAGGAAATATTCAGAAAGTTCTCAAATCCCTCCCCCTCTCAGGGTTTGGTAGAAGCCAAGGAGACAAAGTTTCTGTTAAGCTTCAAGAATATAAAGGAATCACAAGGTGCTTGGGATTGAAACAATGTAACAGTGTATTTCCCCTACCCTGATCTGGACTCAGTGGTGTGGAACAGCATGTTAATCATAGTCATGGAAGCCCATTAGTTTATAATAGGGTATCGGGGTAACCTTTACAGAAATAGACCCTGAATACACCTAAAGTGACCTAATAGCTCCTACTGCAACAGTTTCTGGGTGCTGACTCCCCCCTTAGCTTTGTAGTAAATGTATAAAAGGCACGGCCCTGCTGTACTCGGGGCTCAGACCTTTGGGGATCACTCTCCTCTGAGTCCTCTGGCGTAAAATAAACCTCCACCTTCCAAGGCCTCCTAGTGCCACTTGGTTCTTCTGTCATGGATCCAGTCCAGGTTTTCTGGTTTTCTGTAACAATCTCAGAGGGTTTTAATGTTTTTCTACATATACATTGTACATTTCTTGTTTCCTTTATTTCTAAGTAACTTTTTGTTTTTGTTGCTATTGTAAATGGAGGTTTCTCTTTCATTGTATCTTTTAACTGGATATTGTCTGAATTATTGAAAGCTGTTGGGGTTTTTATTGGTAATTTCATATCCTGCTACCTTACTAAGTCTTTTTCATGGTTTCTGTTAGTTTTATCGTTGATATGCTGGGTTTTCCAAGTAAATACAATGTTATCTGGAAAAAGATACAGGTTTATTAATTTTCCAACTCTAAAGCCTCTGATTTTTTGTTTGATTTCATTCACTAGTATTTCCAATACAATTTTAAAAAACAGTGGAGGTGAAGGGCATCACTGTCTTATTGCTGACCTTGATGGAGATGTCCCTGGTGGTTCCCATTGAGTACGATGATAATGGTGCATGAGGGCTATGGCGTGTCTATTTCATCATATTGAAGAGGTATCCATCAATTCCTGTTTTCTTGAGCTTTTTTTTTGAGTCAGGAATTTTCATATTTTTGCAAAATGCTTTTATAATAGCTATTGAGCTGTACTATTTTTCTTCTTAGGTACATAAATATGGTAAATTTTCATAATGGATTTCCTGATATGGAATATATTCCTGGAATAAGTTCCACTTGGTTATGGTATGTTATTTTTTAATGTGGTATTGGATTTTGGTGATTATTTTATTTAGGATTTTACATTCATGTTTAAAGGTGACAAATCTCCTTTTGTGCTATTTTTTTTATCAAGATTAGCTATTGGCATTATGTTTGGTTCATGTGAAAATAAAAACCAAAACTGTTAAAGTTTTCATTTTCTCTTCTTGTGAATAATTTATCATTTAGATTACCTTTTCTTTCAAGATTTGGTAAAATACTCGGGTGAGACTCTGGGGGTCTGATACATATTTTTGTATGGTAGCTCTTTGGATACCCTTCTCTGTATTTTTCTGTGGAAATTGGATTATGTTTTATGTCTACTGTGATCAGTTTTGGTGAACTGTCTTTTCCTAGGCTATTACTCATTTCCCCTAGTTTTGAAATTATACTTGTATTAAGGTGTGTAAAGAAGTAAATTAAAATTTTTTCCTCTTTAATGGTTATATTTCCCTTTTTCGTGTTTTTACTTTGTATACAAATGTGTAGTGCTTTTTCCTTAATTAGGTGAGCTATGGTCTGTTTTACCGTCTCTTACACAAGAGTCTGTCTGTCCAGTGCCCCTGTCAGTTCTCCTGTCAGCATCTACTTCCTCTGCTCTTTTTCTAGTACTTGGAGTTGGGAATACAATTCACTTACCTTTATTATTATTACTTTTTGTATTTTGTCTTTATGTCTGAATTTTGCTCTGACTTAAGCATATTTTTAGGTTCTGATATGTAGTGATTTCATCTTACTTTTTTAAAAAGAAACTCTGTGACTTGAGTTTGTATTTCCCCTTTTACCCAAGTGTGGTTTAGTTTTTTAAACTTCTAGGTGGAAGGACTTCCTTTGATTTTTAGTGTTACTATGGTTTTATTGCATTATGAACAGAGTGCTGCTGCTTGTACTGTTTCTACTTTATGGGAGTTTTCAATCCTTTGTTACCTAACACGATTGTCAGTTCATGTTCCATGTGCACGTGAGCTGCACACATGCTCTGTGTAATGGGTGTGATGCTCCTGTCTCCGTTGGGTCACCTGGAGCCTGGACAGGGAGGGTCCTGGAGGGAAGCAGGTGCTTTTGGGTGGTTGCTGGATGGAAGACTGGGGGACCCTGGGTCCTGGTGACCCTGTGGCCCTGTCCCTGACTAGGCAATAACATGTAAGGACAGAGATGGTTTCTTCAGGGCTTCCTCCAATGTGTGTTGCCCAGGCACCTCTCTCTCTGGCTGTCCAGGGCGGCTTCTGCCCAGGCGACAGCCCCCCAGTGGGGGTGGGCTGCCCTGTGCTGTGCTGGTGTTCCTGGCATTTCCCAAATTCCAGCAACCCTTGTCTCTCTTCATCTCGGTTCATTCTGATGGAGATTCAGGCTTCCCAGCCCGCTCCGAGTCTGAAGCTAGCCCAGATTCCTGGGGACTTGGATGGACGCTGGGCTTTCCAGCTGGAGACACTTTTCTAGGTCTACATTCCCAGCTCCCAGGCACTGGTCTCCAGGGATTGATTGCTCTTGCTGGCCTGGGCCTTGCCCTGGACCCTAGACCACTGCAGGCTGGTGACAGCATGGCCGCGTTGAGTCACTTCCAGACCTTCTGCAGTGTTGTGCCAACTGGACAAGGCCTGACCTCCTCCCAGTCCCACCCTCTGGCCTCCGAGTTGCCATAGCAACTAACCCTGAGGCAAAGCCATGTTGAAACTCTTCATGACTCATTTCCACGCCAAAGTCCAAACTCTTCAATGGAGCGTGCCAGGCTGCACGTTTTTGGCCCTCCAGATGAGTGTCCCACCACCCCTGGCACTGAGGCTGCTTGTGTGCAGTCCCCCACACATGCCGTGTTTGCTCTGCCTCACTGTGTCCCACGTGCTTGTTCCCCGTTCCTCGTGCATCCCTTCCCCTCCCATCTAGCTGACTCCTTGATCGTCCGCTTTTAAGTCTTAACTGAGAAGCTCCTGCCGAGTCCGACTTGGGAAGGCACACCTGCCTGTGGCTCTGTGCCGGGGCTGGTTCCGCTCGGGAACGTGTGCTGCAAGGGGCAGGGCTGTGTTCTTCCCTGCCCATCTTCCTGTGTCTCCCAGATGCCTCTGCACGACACACGATGAGTGGCTGTGTCTGGGGGGCTCTCCCTTGGAGGGTGGGCAGGGGCCACTGGGTCAGTGATGGGACCCACTCTGTGTCCCATTTTCTGTCTCATTCTAGAGGAGAAGCAGGAAGTGTGCACAGTCTCTGGGTCCCACCCGTTGCCCGACTCGTTGGTGTATGGAGCCGACTGGTCCTGGCTCAACTTCCACCATCTGCCACAGACCCAGCAGTGCCCCAGCTCGGGGTCCTTTCCCTATGGTGACCCAGGAGCCAGAACAGCAGATCCAGCCTGTAACCTGAAGGTGGTCGGCCAGTCGCCAGCGCCCTCACCTGGTCCTTCAGCTGATGACAGTAGAGAGGTTGGTACCAAACTCCAGAGTGCAAACAAGCTGATGACTTCTATTCAGCCACTCACAGACGACACGAGGAGCAGCGGCCGGCCACATGCGGCAGGGACTACGGCCTGTGAGAGTGGCCTGGGCCTGGAAGCTGCAAACCCTCATGTTAACCTCTTAGCCACTTGCTCCTTTTATGATCACATTCTTCACCTCTGGAAGTGGGAGAGCAGCTGAGCTGGGAAGAGATCGCTTGGCTGGACATCATACATTTCCGCCAGGAGCATAACTTCACCTTGTGTGTGAATGGACTGCCTTCCGACCATCTCAGCGCAGCCCGAGGCTGCACTGTAGGGGGCTCCCCGCAGAGAATCTAGTGTGGACACTCAGACTGTTGGCTCCTCTTAAATAAGCTTCACGTATGGGTGCCTTCAAGATGGTGAATCTTGCTGACCGCAAAGGGTCTGTGCCCTAGCTGTCTTGTTGCTGGGCTTGGTTCCCAGCTCCCAAACTCATGTGGATTTGACTTTCAGATATTCATACTTCTTAAAGCAACTATTTACATTAACCAAAGGAGGACAGGTTTTTTTTTTTTTGGCTCCCTTGAACCTTATTTAATAATACAAGATTCAAAATGATATGTTAGCAGAGAAAAAGCCCAGAAAATATAACTATAAAAACTGAATTTGAAATGCACAAAATTATTACAGGGAAATTTTTTTTTTTAAAGCTATGTAACAGCCGTTTTATCTGAACATTTGAAAAGTGCCTCCTGATGGCATCGGCAGTGCTCGTACCCGCTTCCTGTGCAGATGCTGTAAGGAAGCAGGTCACAGTCTGAGCTGCTGGGGCTCGTCATGGGCTGGAAGTGCTTGTTAAGTCAAGGTGGTGGATTAAACACACTTCCTCGCTGTGGTTTTAGGAAACAAACTCTAGTAGCTTCCAAACCCTGGACACTAGTAACTCTTGGAGCTTGAAGGGTGTGTGACTTGTCTCACTCCCACAGATGAGTTCATTTTGGCCTTTGAAGAAACAGGCCAATCCTCACCACCTGCTAACATGACACATAGGTGTCCAGAGTCAGAAAACAAGGTTCTCATCTTTGCCTTCTCGTTTTCTGGTAGTACAACGCAACATGCCAACGTAGGTCAGAATGTGTTATGAGAAGTTATTCTATGCTGGAATGATCAATCCTCAGCTGGTGGTCCATTTATTTCTGTAATATTGGACCCTCCTTTAAAGTTAATGTTCGGTTATTTAACTTAAGGATCAATTAAAATATTAAACAGAATACGTAAGATATGAGGGACTACGTGCTGAAAAAGGCACCCCGAAACATACTAGAGAAACCCGAGCTTGGGCATCAACTTCCTGTTACAGCCTCACATTTAGATCTGCCCAAGAGGGGCAGTTTCTTTCGTCTGACCCCCCAAACGTAGTTGCTTTGAACCCATGAAGGATACGCTTACTGGCTATTGCTTAGGGAAGAATCTGGTGGCTGAATTAATCATGTGGCACCATCTGCCTTGTAAATTCCCTACCTCCCGCAAGCTGCTGAGTGACGTTCTTCCCGCTGGCCCACTTCCCAGGACCTTCCGGTCGGGAAGCCGGCTGCTTCCGAGCTTCACAGGGCACGGAAGGGATGTCCCCGAGAATCCGCCTAGGTCCCTACTCCCTCAGCTGTTCCGCTCTATGCTTTCGTTGGGCAACGACCAAACGCCAAAAACAAATGCACGGTAACCAGGGTCTTTAATGGCACCGGACTGAGAGAAGCGCCCCGCCCACGCCCGGGACGGCGGGCGGCGGCGCCGGGCGGGCGCAGGCCTCGGCTGCCCCGCTCCTAGCGCGGGAAGTTCTTGGGGTACAGCTGGAAGAGCTTGCCTTCCTGGGTGGGCTCAAAGCCGTACTTCTCCAGGTGCTCGGGGTCGAAGGTGCCGTTCTCGAAGTCCTTCGCGACGGCGGGCGCCGCAGCTTCCTGGAAGAGCTGCCGGGCCGTCAGGGGTGTGTCCGTGCCCGCCGGGGCGCGGTAGTTCACGTAGGGCTTGAGCCTGAAGCCGGCCAGCTCGGGCACCACCAGCTCCGGGACCATCTCCTTGACCTGCACGAACGTTCCGTCGCGCGCGCGGACGCCGGTGCCCTTGGCGCCGCGGCTCTTGCAGAAGGTGCGGGGGCCGCGCTTGCTGGTCCACTTGCTCATCCGGTCAGCGCCCCGCATAAGGGCTCGAGCGGCCCCGCTCAGGAGACCCATGCCTTGCAGACGCGAGCGCCCTCGACCCCAACACAAACCGAGGGCCGCAGAGAACCGGATCCCTTCGCTGCTCCCACAGAGGCTTCCGGCGGCCAGCACAACTTCCGGCGCCCGAGGCCTTCGCACCGCAGGAAGAGCATCTCCGATGGGCTGCTTCGTATCCAATGAGCAGCCTCTGCCTTGCAAGAGGGCGGGGCCTCTGGGGAAGGCCGGGGGCGGGGCGTCGAGGTAGGGTGACGGGAGCGCGGGCGTCGGGCGCGCGCGGTCTCGGTGAGTTGCCGCCGAGTTTCCCGGTGTTGTAAGACCCGGGGCGCCGGTCCCTGTGGGAAGGGGGAGCCATCAGCTTCCAAACCCGCGCCCGAAGGAACACCGCCCCAGGCCCGCCCGGCCCTGCGCTGCACGGTGACCGCCTGTGGGAACCGGAGCCGCGTCCCCTCGGGCCCCGGACATTAACCCCTGGACAGTCTGACGGCCCCGCCTCAGCGGCCCCCTGACTCCAGTGGCCCCTGACCCCGACCCAGAGACCCGCAAGCTCTGGAGGCCCTCTGACCCTGACACCTCCAATCCCGCCGTACCCCGCCCTGCAGCCCCCGGCTGTCTCGCACCGGGTGGCCTGCCCTCTGGCCGTGTGCTGACCCAGTCGGAGGAGCGGGCCCTGCGTAACCGGTGTGGGGGAGCAGTGAGCCCCACCCACCACAAACCTGGGGGCGTGGGGAGACTGGCCTGGTCAGCTGAGGTACTGCTGGCCCTTGGGTCTCATCTGGGAAGGCAGGGTTTCCCACGTGGGCCAGGGACACGTGACATTGGACTGCGAGCAAATGCACTGACCCTGAGCTTGCCTTCTCCCTGGATTTTCTGGGTGGGATTCTGGAAGAGAGAGACCCTCCTTTGCTTTGGCTTTCTAGGGGGTTTGGGAGTCGCAGGGTGAAGGCCCTAGACCTGGCTCCTCCTCACCGGAGGTCAGGCGAGCAAAGGCTAGTCCCCACGTGCATAGTCCCCTGGACCAACACATCCACCTTGAGGGCGCAGCTACCCTGGACGGGAATCCCCTGGTACCAGCCACAAGGGAGACTCTGTCCAGCCTGAGGCCCCACCCTGTCCAGCCCTTGCCCCTTCCCCTGCAGGGAGGTCCCAGCTGCTGTGGGCCTTGGCTGGGCTGCGCACACTTGCCCTGACAGCCTGGGAGAGGAGCTGGGGGCTTGGCTGTGGTCCTGGTTTCCTGGGCAGTCCTGTGAGGGCTGTTCCCAGACAGGGAAGCAACCCCGTGCTTTCCTCATGAACAGTTTTCCATCAGCATTTTCCTCCAATGGAAATGCAGTTTACCGTGGAAAGCATCCCAGGGCACAAGGTGGAAAGCAGTGCCCTGCCTGTGAGCCTGAGGGCTGGGCACCTGCCCTTGTTTGAGCCGGCTTTCTGCTTTCCACCTAGGCTGTCTTCTGCTTTTAGCCATGGAGCAGGAGGAGGATGCTGACGCGGAGGTATGGAGCTGTGGACTCCAGGGATGAACCAGACCCTTAGAATCTCCACTGGGCGCATTTCTGGACCAGGAGAAAGGGCGTTTTTAGCATCTGCTCTGGCGGCAGCCCCTGGAAGCCTCCTGAACGTGGGAGTGGCAGCTTGGGCTCTTCTGACGCCTTGTTGGAGCTGGGGCCCTGCCTCTCCTTCCCCTGAGGTCACACTTGTCTATTCCTGCCTCCACTTGGGACTCCGCCTGCTTGTTTTGACTCAGTGACTTTTACTCAGTGGAACATCTGTAGCTGTATCACTAAGGCCTTTATTCCTAACCCAGAAAATTAGATGCATTGAAACAACGGTGAACAGCTAGGGAAGTGCGATGCCCACCCACAGCAGATTGTGCAAATGGGTTATGAGACACTATGTGACGCTTCCTTGCATAGCTCTGGCCATCCCCAGCATGGCAGTTGAGCTCTGAGGGACACACTTAGGGGAAGACGCGGTCACTGTTGCTCTTGTGCTGCCGACTGTTAATGTTCCCCAGAGCTGTGCACGTGGTCTGGGCCAGGAGTAGTTGGGTATCCCAGCTCCAGAGCCGAGAGCCCTGCTGCTTCCATCTGCCGCCTGAAAGGGTTGAGTTTTCTGATCACTCATTCATTCTGTCTTGATGCAACAGTCTGCTTTTGAGCAACTTTTCCAGACGCTGTTCGGTTTCCTTTTCTGGCATCAGTGCCATGTCTGATCCTGGCCCTCTGGAGGGTGGGGCAGCTGGCTTTAGTCCCTGGTGCTTGTGTGGAAACCTGAGAGGATAGACAAGTGCCCCTGCCCCAGCCTGCTCCTGGCCGCTGGGAGGCGCTGTGTGGACACCACGGGAAGGGGAGTGGCTGTGTGTTAGCCAGGCGGTTTTCCCACTTCATCTTCATCTTGGGAAATGAGCCAGCATGTCCGTGTGAGTGGCCCCAGCGTCTGCCCTCTCACCACCCCATGCTTACCCTTCCCTCTTCCCTTCCTGCCTCCCTCCTTCCCTCTGGTCTGGACTTCTGAAGCCCCTATGGACTTCTTCCTTGGGAGGCGGTAGGGGAGCAGGCACGCAGCCCTTCTCTGCTGTGAGCTGGTATTAATGCTCTCAAAATCCAGATGGTTTCTTGAGGTTTCTCAGCACTGCTCGTGGGAGGCTAATGTGTGCTCTGGGGCTGGCAGTCCGTGGTCCTGTTGGGGATCAGAGGGAACTAAAAGAGGCCTTGGCACCTCTGTGGCCAGCCGGCCGCCTCCTCTGGACTTCAATCTTGAGGAGCTGGAGAGCTGAGGGTCTAGGGTTCTGATGCACTGATGAAGCCCAGAGCATTTGTCGTCCACACAGCACTGCTGGCCCCACTGACCACCCCAAGGGTGGCCGAGAGGTGGGGCTCTGTGCCCTGAGCAGGCGTGCTTGAGACGGGCCTCAGCGGCCTGAAGGCGCTTCCTTCTGGAGGCCCTTGGGGCTGCGACTCTTCTGCCCTGGGAGGCTGGGCCACGCCCGCCCTGGCCCTTCCTGACCCAGTGTCCTTCTGCAGGCTGGCTCCTCTCTGCATGCCGCCCTACGATCCTGGGCACTGCAGTTGACAGAGCAGAATTCACAGTCCACCATGGTAACCACTGGTGCTCCCACACGATGGGCGGGCCCTGGGACCTATGGCCTGTTTGAGCCCAGGCTGCCCCTGGCCCTTTCAGCCTGGCCCATGCTGGGGGCGCTGGGGGGCTCAGGGGAGGGGCTCCCTTGCGGCCTTGCTGACGGTTGCTGTCTGCACCTTCACCCAGCTGATGGGGATTGCAGTTGGAGCCCTCCTGGCCCTGGCCCTGGCCCTGCTTGGTGTCACTGTCTTTTTTGTGCACAGAAAGGTTAACCGATCCCGTGAGTATCCTGCTTCAGACTTGTCTCCAGGGGGAGGACGAGGCCCAGGGAGGTCTGGGCGACTTGCCATGCATTTCGAGCCCCTCAGTTCATGCTGGCTTTTGTTGAAAATTACTCGCTCGTCCAGGCTGAGGCTGTACGTATTGGGTGCATGGAATTTGAGTCTGTTCTGAGCTTTCCTGGCTCGATTCCCAGCAAGGCCCCAGTGAGGAGAGGTGCTTCCCGTTTGCCGAGCGTCTGTCATGACCCTGTGAGGCGCTGCCCTTCCCACACGCGGTGGGACTCAGCAGCGGGGCAGAGTCCTCACAGGGTCCTGGCTGTGCCTCAGGCCACCCTTTTGCTCTCCTTGCAGGACAAGTGCAGCCCGCTCCTCAGTACAGGTTCCGGAAGAGAGACAAAGTGATGTTTTACGGCCGCAAGATCATGAGGAAGGTGACTTGTGCTGGAGGCGCCCTTCCTGTGGGTGCCTGTGGTATGGGCCTGGGAGCCCGCGGCGTGCATGCTCTCCTCGCGCAGCGCCCAGGCCTGCTCATCCCCGAGGCCTCCACCCTAGCTGCCTGCAGGGAGGGCTGGGGCCAGGCAGGGCTGGGTTGAGCTTCCAAGACTGCTCTGGCAGGTGTGGGGAGCCGGAGCCCTCACTGGGCCTGCGAGGTAGATGTTCGTCTTGCGGCCCCTTCCAGGGACATCCTGGGGCATCGGACTTGGGGTCCCGCCTCCAGGGCTGGCACTGGTGATGCTGTTCGGGTTTGGAGACCGCAGGGCCTCCCTTTCAGTGTCAGGCTCCTACCTGCAGAATGACCAGCCTGTCTTGGCTCCTCAGCCCTCTGCCACCACCTGTGGGAAGGAAGGGTTCACAGACCTCCCAGAGGCTTATTCTAAAACAGCCTCTGTTCGTTGTTTTTCTCTGGTTATGCTATTGTTTCATGTTCTTTGTAGAAAACCCCCAACATTAGTAGAGGAGGCACATGGGTGTCCTTGTGTGGGGCTTCTTTCTTGTCCGCATCAGGCGTCAGCTAGGCTGGGCCACCCGGCCGAGGCCCTGAGCTCTGTGCACCTGCTCTGTCTGGGGCTGGCCTGGCGAGCGTGGGCTGCCTCGTGGCCTAGAGCTGGGCCACATGGGGTGGGCCCAGCGGGTCTTGGAGGAGCCTGTGTGGCTGGCTGGGGGCCGTCCCAGCAGTCCCACTGAGGCTTGTGTGCTGGCGTGCTGGGCTTGGGCCTCAAGGTCAGGACTGTGGTCCAGTGGTGCCCACACACCATGGACAGACACAGTTCAGGGAGCTGAGGGGCAGGGGCTGCCTGCCGATTTCCAGGCTGAGGGCTGGGCTCTGCAGCCCTCACCCACCCTGTTCAGTGGTTGGGTTGGCCTTGACGATGGGAAGGGGTGAAGAGCGTGCAGGGCCTCAGGTCATAGGTGGGGAGGTAGGGAGGGCTTTTCAAGGGCTGTGGGAAGGGGCTGCCATAGTGTGAGGGAGGCGGAGCAGCATCAGCCTGCAGGCAGAGAGCACCTAGCTGGAGGACTCGGAGCTCTGGGTGCGCCGGCCCTCTGGGGAGATGGTCACGTGCTGCATCAGCAGGCAGGGCGTTCTGCATTGGGCAGGTGTGGTGGGCAAGGCAGGTGAACCCCAGAGCTGATGCAAGGGCTGAGTGCTGAGCCCAGCTGGGCACAGGGTTCTCACCCGGCCCTCCCCTACCCCTGTGCAGGTGACCACGCTGCCCCACACGCTAGTTGGGAACACAGCTGCATCCCGGCAGCGCATGCGGAAGAGGACCAAGGTGCTCTCCTTGGCCAAGAGGTATTGGGGGTGCCCTTGGACCACATTGAATCCCGGATGCCCTCCCCGGTACGGGGGCCTGCTGGGCATGGCTGCTGCCCATGGCTTCCCGCCTCGGGTCACAGCTCACGCTGTGGGCTTGAACCCCTCAGGCTTCTGCTTCAGGGTGTGTGTCTGCTTTGTAGGATTCTGCGCTTCAAGAAAGAGTACCCCACCCTGCAGCCAAAGGAGCCCCCACCCTCCCTGTTGGAGGCCGACCTCACAGAGTTTGATGTGAAGAACTCCCACCTGCCGTCAGAAGTTCTGTACATGCTGAAAAACGTTCGGTGAGCCCGAATGTCCGGGAGGCCTGCTGGGGACTGGGAAGGCTCCGTTTCCTGTAGCCACTGACTGTCAGCAAGACTTCGGCTGCCAGAGCACTGTTGTCTGTGTTCACTTGCTTGTCGGCACTTTTGTCTTCAGGAGGAAGGCAGATGGCGCATGGGACTCTCTAGCTGGGTGCCTCTCTGTCCCTCCCTAGAAATGCCCTTCCTCTTCCTGGCAGCGCCTCGCGGTCCTGGGGGGGCCCTTCTGTACCTGCCATTGATTCTGCACAGTGCAGGCTCTCAGCCTCGACTCCTCATTCTTTGAACTGATGGGAAGGCGACTGAGGGGCATTACCGGGACACAGGCTTCTGTCCCAGCAGTGACTGGGACGCTGCAGCTATGGGAGCACCAGCTCTGCCCGCTGGCCAGTGGGGCCGCCCGTCTCCCTCAGCTGCTTTCAGAGGCCGCTGCTCCTTACCCCAGGAAGTATCCCACTCATGCTCTGCTTCCTGCAGGGTCCTGGGTCACTTTGAGAAGCCGCTGTTCCTGGAACTTTGCAAACACATGGTCTTCGTGCAGCTGCTCGAAGGGGAGCACGTCTTCCGGCCAGGGGAGCCAGACACCAGCATCTATATAGTGCAGGATGGGCGGCTGGACGTCTGCATCCAGGATGCGGTGAGAGTGAGGCCTGCATGCCGGCCAGCTGGCCGGGGCGGGGGTCTGCTGGGCTGTCACGTGGAGGCCTGGCACCTTACGTTCCCAGTGCACCCCATGGGGCAGTGCGCGCCTTCACCCTGCACTTCTTTGGGTAGAAAGGCCTTGGTCCTGACACTGCTGCCCAGATGTCCTGTTGATGTTGGTCATCACCTGTCACTCTCACACCTGTGTGTGCCTGTCAATCAGCCGGCTCAGGCTCAGTAGCATTTAGTGGCTTCATTTCTGCATTTCACCAGATACAGCACCAGCATTTTGAAATGTTTCTCCCACTTCCTCAGGACACCCCTCTGTATTGATCTGCCATGATGAGTTGCACCCTTACCTTATTTTCAGGTTTCAGATTATAAATCACTGTAACTCTAAGAAAACAGTTGAAGTATTAATTCATCTGGAAACCAAGAGGTTCCTGCCTCTGTTAACTTTTACCCTGAATCTCAGTTGTCAGGAGTGACCTCCAAGCCTAACCAGCCAAGGTCTAGCTGCTTTCCAGGAGGGTGGGTGCGTTTACTTGCCCAGTGGAGTGTGACCTACCTAGGCTTCCCACCATCTGTTCAAAGTGAACTCCAGGCTGCACAGGGTTGCCCCCTGACCTTGCAGAAGTCCCCACTTGCCAGAGTGTGGGGGGCCTGACAGTGCCCTGGGTGTCTAGACCGTTCTCATGCATGCAGCTTGGTGTACATCTGGACTGGACAGGGCGATGAGAAAGGAAGTGGCCCTGTCCAGTCTCCTCTTGTTGGGGCTCTCAGTGTTCAGGACTGTAGTCCTACCACTGGGCTTTCCCCGAAAGGGCCAGGCAGAAGGGCTCAGTCAGGATGGGTGACCAGGGTCAAGTCCACATAAGTTCAGAAAGGGCTTTCCTGGGCCAGCAGAGGCGAGCTTCCTGTGTTAAGTCATTAGCATGGTCTTCTTTCTCTTTAACCCAGTGGAGAAATACATCCAAATGCTATTCTGTATACCAGTAACAACTGCACGTGGTCCTCACAGCCCTCCGGTCTGGCCGGCACATTCACTCGGGTTCTGCGACTCAGCCCAGCTCTCCTGCTGAGGACCAGCCTTGGCTGCACGGCTGTGCCTGCTGGTTTTGCTCACTCCCCTTACCCTCACTTTCTCTGGCCTCTGCTTTTGAGGTCGTCACCCCGTCCTCTCCACAAGTCGGTGAGGGTGCAGCCCTCTCCCCTCATGGACTGTGGTGGCGGGGCGTGTCGGCCCAGCTGTCTCCTCAGGCAATGGTGCTCTGCTTCCCAAGTGCAGGACGGCACCGAGGTGGCGGTCAAAGAGGTGCTAGCCGGGGACAGCGTCCACAGCCTCCTCAGCATCCTGGATGTCATCACCGTGAGTCCCCTGGGTCCCAGGCTTGCCCACACGGCAGGTCCCTCAGCGCCAGGGCCAGTTCTCCGCAGCGACGTGGGGCTGGTCCACTGTGGGAGGGACCCGTGGAAGGTCAGGGGTGGGGTGCAAGCGGGCGCCTCTGACTTTGGGTTTATGAGTTGGCTGTTTTAAATGGTTGTCAAATGCTGATGCGTGTATGTGGCTCAGAAGGCACGGAGTGTGTGCAGGGGAAACGGCTCCTCCCACCCTTCAGGCCCCGAGGCCCCTCCCAGAGGGAGCTCCTTGCGGCTCTTTTGTGCGGTGTGACTCTGTCCCCGTCTTTGGCTGTTCACTGTGGTGGCGAATGGTCTTGTGTGGACCCTGTCTCCTGTACATGAGGACCAGCCTGCGGGACAGGTCCTCGGGGAACGCCCCTCCTGGCCCCGCCGCCCGGGAGGGTGCCGGCTTCATCTCCACCAATTAGGGAGCCATCTGATGCTTGTTCTTTACCAGCCCAACTGAAAAACAATGTCTTTTATTATTTTATGATTTTTAAACTTCTTATTGTGGAATGTTTCCAACGTATTCAAAAGTAGACAGAATAGTAAAGATTTTTACTGGCTGTCCCACCACCAGCTACAAAAAGCCTCTGTTCCATGTGCCCTGTTCCCTCCCTCCTAACTAGAACTCAACATTTGTTTAATTTTCTTCTGAGTAAATCTACACACAGTGAAACAAATCTCAAGTGCACATGAGCTGAGTTTTGATAAATGCACGGCCTGTGGGACTCAAAAGGTGCATTTGGTTTTAATCTCACGCTTTGAGGTCAGCCTTTCCTTTCCTGCCTGACTGTGTCTTGCAGCTGTTTCTGCAGACATTGCATGGCGGGGTCTCCAGAGGCCGCAGAGCCTTGGCAAGGTGCAGGTGTACAAGGCAGGGGTCTGAGTTCTCAGGTGACTCTCAGACAGATGGAGCCCCGGCTGTGTCCTCTGACTCAGCCCTCCGTCATTGTGCACGACCAGCTCCAAACACTTTGGGGGTGTCCAGTGTGCTTGCCCTGCCCCCGGGCCAGCATAGATGTGCACCGAGGGGTTTTGGGGCCTGGGGTGGAGGCACGGTTGGGACTCTGGTGTTGTGTTCTGTTCCTGGGACCTGGTGTGCCTTCACAAGATGCTTGGCCAGGGCTGAGAGGGACACCACCTCCTCTGAGCAAGACTGACCTGTCTTGAAAGGCTGGCGCTCGGCCCCGAGGCAGCCTTGCCTGGAGCGTTGTGCTGGGAGAGGGTACCTGGCCTGTGTGCAGAGCCTGGGTCCGAGTGGCCCTGGTTGGCATGCCCCTGAATCTGTCAGGTACACCATAGCCTGCAGAAGCCAGAAGGTCTAGACCGGCTGTCAGTCTGCACGCAGGTAAGTCGGGGTCACGTGACGCTTCAGCCCTCGCTGCCTTCGCTGGTTTAACCAAAGAATGACTTGAGCACAGGCCAGGGCAGGCCTGGGGCTGTTACGTCTGTTTCTGTAGCCAACCCTGACCCTGTTGTGGGGTTCGGGCTGACCTCGTTCCTTACAGCTCCCCGAGCTAGCTGGGAGCTGGCCTGTCCATCAACACACCCTCTCTGGGCAGGAGCCCGCCTCCTTGAGTGGATGGGAAAAGAAAATGGGGGTGACATCTGGGAGAAAGAATTCTACAGACATTGTGATTATTTGACTATTTGGAAGGACATCATTTTGCCTCCCCAGACATTTGTGTTTGTCATTTCTTAAAAAGTTTAATTCTTATGAAAATAAGTAAGACCTACTGGAAAATACATCTTTGATGTCTTGTGAACTGCAGTTGCTTGTCTTCCTGCCCCTTCCCTAGGGAAGCTGCTGCCTGCTGCTGGCCCTTCGAGGTTCCTGGGGGCAGGCTGCCTTGGGTCTTTGGGACTCTCCCCTTTCTGACCCCTGCTGAGTTCCTGTCCAGGTGCAAAGGCTTCTTGATGGCCCAGGTGGCTGCACACCTGCCGTGCGGCTCCGCCTCTGGACCCGGTTCACCACGGAGCCTGTGGGCCAGTGCCCGTGAGCCCCTTCGCATCTCCCTGCAGTTAGCAGGTGCCTCACTTTTGAGTCGCCTCTTTCCCACACATGTGCGCTGACGCCCTGACCTGTGCGTGTGACCTGGGGAGAAGCCCCCAAACCCTATCCTCTTGTCCCTGTCGAAGCCCTTGCCCCTCACCCTGGGGCCTCTCTTCCCCCTGAGCAAGGCCTTGGGTTGACTTGTTCACTGTGGGGCAGGGGCAGAGAATAGTTTTGAGATCTTACAAACCTAGAATTGTCTCTATTCACTACTTTTATCATTTCATTGTGCTTCCTAGATTTCTTCGACTTTATTTTCCAAACTTGCCATTGAATTTCTAATTTCTGTCATCATGTTTATTTTAAGAGCTCTTTTTCCCCCCTCCAAATTAAAAATATATATATATCTTGTTCTTTTTGCATGGGTGAAGTAAATTGAGGCTTTCATTTGCTCCCTGCGTCAACTCTGGCTCTTCTCAGTTTCCCTTCTCCGTTTATTTTGGCCTCCGTCTTTCTGATCCGGGCCTCTCCCGTCCCAGCAGTCCATGAATGTGCGGGTGAAATCTGCAGCAGACCCGCCTGCGCAGCAGTGCAGAGGGGCCCCCAGACATGTCACGGATCTGGAGGCCAGGCGCGAGCGAGGCCAGTGCGTGAGAGTCGCGGTCAGCAATTCCCGCAATACCAGGTGGCCACCATGTCAGGCTGTGCTGCAGCCTTCCTGGTGTAAATGAGCATCTGGTGGTGTCTCAGCAAAGCTCTGTTTGCAGCACAGAAGGCGGCTGGGATTTGGGCCATGGGCTGCGGTTTGCCCGCTCTCTGGCAGGGACAGGCGAGTGTTACTGCTCAGGGCCGGGTTGTTTCAGGCCGAGGGGAGGCATAAGGTGATCTGGATTGCTGGAAATGTGTTATACCTTCATTCAAGCCATGGTTATATGCGTTTATTATAAAAAGAAAAACAGCACGAGCTCCTTGGAAGCTGGCTCTGTGCTCGTGTGTGTAGGGCTTGTCCCCGGCAGCTCCTTGTAGGAAGGCAGGTTGGGTCCTGCAGGCCAGTGTCCATGGAACTTTTCCGTAGGGCAGAGTCCCAGAGAGGAGCCCACCAATACCCTGCTGTCATGGGATTGGCTTGGAGTTGGGGAGGGAGTCTGGGGTACCCCTACCCTGGTGCAAATGTGAGGCGGCACCCGGCCTCTGGCTGTGCATGGCAGGCAGACAGACCTGTCTGCCTCACTGTGCGGGACACCCGAGGCCAGCTTCAGGGTGCGGCGGTCAGGAGCTCCCCCATGGGGACAGGCTCTTCCAATAGACATGCCCTCAGCTCTGCCCACTGCTAATCTCCCAGAGTGCGGTTGACACGACCTGCCTGCTCTTGGTGTTTATCTTCGTCCTGGGGTTTGTATCTTCTCAGTGGAGCAGAGGGGAGCATGTGCCATGAGGGAATGGAGACAAACCATTAACTTCAGACAACCATTTTTAATGGGAGGTGGGCTTTAGTATTGTTACGTTTTCAACTGAAGTAACAACTTATTCTTTTGGTGTTGAGGTAGTTATTATTTTCCAATTTTGAGAAATAATTGACATGTGTCACTTGTAAGTTAAGAGGTTACAGCGTGATGGTTTGGTTTACATTTACTGCAAAATCATTACCACAGTGGGTCTAGATAACCCGTCACCTCACAGATAAGAGTATCCTTGTGCCGAGAGCCGCTTCCTGCAACCGCACGGCAGTGCCAGCTGCAGTGTGGGTGCCGCACCTGACACCCCGCGACGCACCTACCTCATACCTGGAGGTTCACCCCTTGCCTACCTTCCCCCAATCCCCTCCCCTATTGTTTTAATTCGAGGAGGCTGTCATGAAGCATGCAGACACCCCCAGCAGCACAGGTGTGGTCAGCGCGAGGGCGCCCGCCCTGCCTCAGGGCTCTGGTTGCCATGCTGGCCCAGCCGGCCTGTCCTCTCTGCAGTGTGTGCACTTTCTTTGCTTATCTGAGGTGTCCCGTGTGGTCTGTCATGACTGCCTCTTGTCCGTGGCTGTCAGTGTGCAGCACCTCCGTGCAGTTGGGCTGGTGGGCCGCATGTCTGTAGGGCGGCTCTTGGCTGTGGTGCAGCGCATTCGGGAAGCCCAGCCAGCCGAGGAGTCTGGATCTGGGCCTGGGCCTTGCTGCAGCCCTACGGTGCAGCCTCTTCCTCTGGTTTTCATAGGCTGTTGATTTTAGGTGGCGGGGTGGAGGGAGTCGCTTTTCTGGCTAAGAAAAAAGTCACTTTCAAAGTAAAGCAAGTCACTGCCTTTACAGCAGCAGCTGCAAAGTGCTCTTTGCCTCCCTGCCCTCGGGGGCCTGGCCCGTGGGTAGCGCTGTGCTTGCCTTACATTCTGGGGAGGGCGCCCTGCACGGAGTGTGCACAGGGGAGCAGGCGGGCTGTAGCCAGCCTGGAATCCCATCCTTGGGCACCAGCTGGCGACTCTGCGCTCATGATCCTTGGGGTCCTCTTTCAAAAGGGTTTGAAGTGAGCAGGCAGAAAGCAGAGCAGATGAAGTAAGTGCGGCAGTCTCAGAGCTCCCGTGGAAGTCCCAGAGCCAAATGCCCAGTGTTTCTGCATGGGTGCATTCTGCAGGAATGGGTGCCTGCCACATGGGCCTTAGAGTGTATGCTGTCCTGAGACCGGGCATCGCTGGGCATCCCCTGGTTTGGAGTCTTGTCTGCGTGGCCTTGCACGTGGTGACAGGGATTAATTAGGGTTCTTCATTCGGGCTCTCAAAGAGGAAAAAATTGGAGATTTTATCTTTTACTTATGTATTTATTTAATAAAACAAAATGGAGTTCCCGTTCTGCTGTGGCAGGGCAATGTCCTTATAGTTCTTCTTTCCTTTTGATAACAGCAGAAAGCTCTGGACAAAATGCAGAAAGCAGGGACAGAGGACGCAGAAAATAAAGGCAGGGAGATGGTGGGTGGCACTCAAGCAGGAGCCCACAGGGCATGTTCTCTGCCTTTCCTGTTGTCTCACTGCTCTGCCCAAGTAGCTGCATGGTCCCGGAACCAGAGCTCGAATGGAACCTGCCTTTCTGGGGGCTGGAGGGTGGGCGGGGCGGGGAGGCGGCATCCGCAGCAGTGGGCCCCCAAGTTTCTGTGATCCTCTCCAAGCCTCAGGGCAAGTTTGGTGCAGTGCAGCACGGCCTGTGAGCACCCTCAGCCCAGCTGTCAGGTGAAGCCCTGAGCAGCACCTGTGCAGGATGGCGCAGAGCACCTGCGGAACACGGAAGACTGACGCTGAGGCCCAGCGCCCGTGGGTGGGGAGACAGGACTTGTGGACTGATCCTAACCAGCCTGATAACCTGCGGAAATCAGTATTCTCCAGAAAGTGGCTGCCTACACCTCAGCATGGCGGTGACAGCACTGAGTACACATTAAATGACAGCTGGTCAGATTGGATATGGAAAGGCCAAGATCCAGCTGTATGCTGACTCCATGAAACCCACTTACACAGGAAAACAGATTAAAAGTGAGAGGATGGAAAAGTTATACCATGGAACTCAAATGATAACAACACTGAGGGCAACTTTGATATCAGACAGTAGGCCTCAGGCCAAGGGCTGTTGCCAGGACACCACAGCTGTCAGCACGAGGGTGTGATGGTCCCGAGTGTGCCCACCTACCAGCGGGATCTCAGAGGCGGGACAGAAGCCTGCAGTGCTGATGGGGACAGATGCCCACGGCTACAGTCGGACTTCGGCTCCCTCTCTGTCGTCGCTGGGACAAGGGGACAGGCAGTCTGCACAATGCTGTCACCACCTTGGCTGTTTGTGAGACGCTGGACCCAACAACCCAGAACACCTTCTTCTCAAGTACATGTGGGGCCTTCACAAGATACACTATGTTCTCAGTCATCAGACAGACACCAAAAAGTTCCAAGGGACTGAAACCCTGCAAAGTATGTCCTCTGGTTATGTTATTAAACTAAGAACCAGTAACAGAGAGAAAATATAGAAAAATTATGACATTTGGAAATTTAAAAGTACACCTGTAAAAAAGTATTGATCAAAGGGAAGTTATAGGGAAAAATATTTCAAACTAAATGAAAATGAAAATACAGCCTATCAAGACTTGTGGAGTGTAGCGAAAATAGTGCGTAGAGGAAAGTTTATAACCTAAAATGCTTGTGTCAGAAAAGAAAAGGTCCCAGATCACTGACCTAAGCTTCTGTCTTCAACTAGGAAGAGCAAATGAAAAAGTAAAGCAGACAGAGCCGAGGGATAAGAGCAGACGTCGGTGAGATTGAGAGCAGAGTGACTGAAAACCTGTGGACCCAAGAGCTGGCCCTGGGGAGCAGCAGTAAAACAGAGAAGCCTGTGGCCAGACCAGTGAGGAAAACAGGAGGAGGCATAGAGCACCATCAGAAACAAGGGCATCTTTACAGACGGGAAAGACGCGAAAGAGGAGATTGTGAACAACTTTGTGCTGGTTAGGAGAAACTGACAGTCCCTGAGAAGAGTGTGAGGAGGGGCTGCTGCCCAGTGGCATGCACGGCTGGCAGGAGTGTGGAGTGTGGCTGCCGTGGAAATGGGGTAAAGTGCATATGCTGTATGACCCATGGGTCCCACTCTTGGATGTTGAGCAACAGAAACAAAAACCATGTTCACTCAAAACCCTGTATATGAATATTTAGAGCAGCTTTATAGCTGCCCAAACCTGGGAACAACCTAAATGTCCATCAGCTGCTGGATGGACAAAGGAACTGTAATGCACCTGTAAGACAGACTGGGTCTTAGCAGTCGAGCAGCAAGACAAATCCATGAGCGTTGTCTCAGCAGAGGGAGCTAGTCCCTGTTCGATTCCATGTGACTTCAACACAGGCAAAACCGCCAGGACAGAAAGCTGGTGGTTGCTGGGAACCAGTGGTGGGAAGGAGGGTGGGGCCGGGACTCGGGGTGAAGGTCCCTGCATTGGGGTGACGCATGGATGGGCCTCAGAGGGCAGGAGCAGAGGCCACTCACTTGTCCTTGGCCATCTGCTTCTGGAGCCCAGCCCGAAGCCCTGTGGCCTGCACGGCAGGACGAGGCTCAGCAGCGGGAGTCCTGCCAGGCTGCTTCCTCCCAGGGGCCTTGCAGGAGGCCCACGCGGGCTCGTGTCTCACGCACTCTGGGAAGTGGGCGCCCGGTTCTTGGCAGGTACCTGGGCGGCTGACCAGAGCTCTCGTTGCAGGGCCACGCTGCAGCCTACAAGACGGTGTCTGCCCGTGCTGCTGTCCCGTCCACCGTCCTCCGGCTTCCGGCTGTGGCTTTCCAAGGGGTTTTTGAGAAATACCCAGAAACCCTGGTGAGAGTGGTGCAGGTGGGTCGCTTCTTTGGTCGAACTCCGGTGGTGGGGCCCCCAGGCCTGGCATGCTGGGCTGCCTGGGTGGTCCAGAGCCTTGTGGCCTCAACTGGGGAGTCAGTTTCACCAGCAGCGGAGATCACTGGCCTGTGGTCCAACTACAAAAATAATTTTGTATTACGTATTTTACAATAAAAATTAACATTCATGACCTTAAAGAGGTCTTTATATCTCCCATTATCTCCACAAAGAATTGTCTTTTATTATCCAACTTCTTGTTTTGAAGTAACTTTAGATTTACAGAAGACTTGCAAAACAATGCAGAGGCCCCTTTTTGCTCCTAACACCAGCATCTTAGGCGGCTGCCATGGGCTGTCGGGTAGGGCCTGAGGAGGGCTCAGCACGGCACAACTGGCCTGTCCCCACAGATCATCATGGTGCGGCTACAGAGGGTCACCTTTATGGCACTGCACAACTACCTGGGCCTGACCATGGAGCTCTTCAACCCTGTAAGTGGCAGTGTTCTGATCACTGGGTATCGGGACCCTGGGCTTTGAGGGGTGATGGTGGGGTTGGATTCTCCCAGGGCCCCGTGCAAAGAGCTTGTCCCATCAGTCAGGTTTCAGGGAGGATGGGCTCCTTCTCAGGGTTCATGCCTGCTGGAGGCTCGCAGCCTTTGCAAATGGCCTGTGGCACCCGCAGTTCCGTCCACAAGAGTCGCTCCGTTGGCTGCCTTGCCCCAGAAGCACACCAGCCCCTTTGTGGCTGGGCCACACAGCGGGGAGAGCCCCTTCCTGCCGGCGCTGGGGTTACTGCCGTGGCCGCCCCTCCTTTCTGTCGAAGGCCAGGCAGGTTGAGCTGATGGCCGTGAGGTGGGGTGCACGCGCTCCTACCCCTGAGAGTTCTTGTGGGCCGCTGAGGAGACTGCCGTCTGCCTGGTCCCTGTGGCTCCTGAGCGCTGACCAGATGTTTATCGTTAGCATAAGCATTTACCTCAATGTCCTGCTTAGCTTTGCTGATATTTTAGGTTTTACTCTCTGCCTTTGCTGATATTTTAGGCTGTATCTTTTTGTTTTCTACATTGTTTTTCATCTTCATGGAGTGTCGAGGTTTCTGACAAGTCTGATCATTACTTAAACTTGCTGGAGCTGCGCAGGGAAAGGCAGACTGGGCCCACCCGGATCGGCCCTCGTCCCGCGTGGCTGGTCCCCCAGGGGCCGTCGCCCCCTCATCCCTGCAGTGAGGCCTTTCCACAGGGCCTGGTACTGAGAGCGCTGGCCCACCAGGGCACCTGCAGCAGCCCCACTTTCCTCTCTCATCCCAGGAGAGCCAGGCCATCCCGCTCGTGTCCGTGGCCAGCGTGGCTGCTGGAAAGGCCAAGCGACAGGCAAGCTGCAGCCCCGAGGAGCGGCTGGAGAGGCCTGCATGGCCCCAGGAGCCCTGCGGCCCAGGTGCTGCACCCCAGGATGATCCCAGCCTGCCACCTTCCCTCCTGCACTGCCCCCGCCACACCTCTGTTCCCAGCTATCTCCCCATCACTGCAGGAGGACTTGGCCCCAGGGAAAAGCCATTTGGGAAGCAGGTTCTGAGCGTGCTGCTCTGAGCTCTCAAGAGGGACCTAGATTTAGGGAAAGAAAATGTCCATCGAGGCCTTTCAGCCAAGAGTCACCTCCAGTTGTGGAACACGCATGGCAGATGTGGGCACATCACCTGTTTCTATGTAAATGGTGTCTGACCCAGTGCTGCATGCGATTCAGGAAAGCCAGGCACTTGGGGTCCCTCCTGCCGTTCGGGGTCCCTCCTGCGGCTCGGGGTCCATCCTGCCGCTCCATCCCTCCTGCCGCTTGGGGTCCCTCCTGCCACTCGGGGTCCCTCCTGCCGCTCCGTCCCTCCTGCCGCTCGGGGTCCCTCCTGCCATTCCGTCCCACCTGCTGCTCGGGGTCCCTCCTGCCACTCGGGGTCCCTCCTGCCGCTCTGTCCCACCTGCTGCTCGGGGTCCCTCCTGCCGCTCGGGGTCCCTCCTGCCGCTCGGGGTCCGTCCTGCCGCTCGGGGTCCCTCCTGGAAGGTTGCTTTGAATTCATCTACCTGAGGGACAGGTGGGGCACTGAAGATTGCCGGGCTCCTAGGAGGCAGGTGTGCTCCCATGGCCACCTCGACAAAGATCGCGCCTGAGAGGGGACAGTGGTAGTTCAGCCTGGGGCAGGTGTTACCTTTCCAGGGACCAGCCGGCACAGGCCACCTTACCAAGGGGGCAGAGCAGGGCCTGCATCTGAGGCTGGCATTCGCTCATTACTCACCTGGACAGGGGGGCACAGGTGACGGGTCATGCTGGAGCAGGTCAGGAGGATGTGGCCTGAGAGGGCAGGTGCACAGGGCCTGGCCGAGGGCTGTCCCTGGGCTCCCGTGGAGTGGAGGCCTTGTCTCACATCCATCTCCAACCAGCAGACCGTGGGGGCGGCTCCGCTACAGCCTCTGGGCTTCGGCTGAAGAGAAGCCACTCCTTTCCGCTGCCGTCTGTCCGCAAGATCTCAGATGAGCCTGGCAAGGCCCAGGCAGGTGGCCAGGCCCCTCCCACTCCACCAGGTAAAGGATTCTCCACCCCAGATGGCTCCCTGAGGCTGGAGCATTTAGAGGTGGGCGAGCCCTTGGGCCCAGAGGACCTTGCACCCACATGCTGGCTCTTGATTTGAGGCGGTGGTGGGTGGCTTGCTGCCCTGAGTATCCTGTGGGCTCCTCTGCATGCGATCCCCAATTCCTAGGTCCACGATGCTCTGCCAGGTCAGGCCCTGTGTGCCCCCTCCTGCCCCTGCAGGACTGTCTTGCCAGTGCCCTCCCTTCCCCTGCACTGGGCTGTGCCCATCTGTATACCAACATGCCCCCTCCTGCCCTGGAACAGTCTTTCCAAAGCCCTCTGCCCCCTCCGTCACCGCCCAGGCTCTGCTTTCATTAGAGCAGAGCTCTCCTGGGCTTGGCCGCCTGCCCCGTCTGGCTTTCTCTGCGCTGCTTTCTTCTGGGTCTCAGCTACAGAGGTCCTCACACCCTCTGGCCACCAGTGACTCTTCTCCCTGTGGGGACCCGGGCTCCCCTGGGTGCATCCAGCCCGTGGGCCACAGGGTGGCGGTGGTGAGTCCGGCCCTAGCCTGCAGTCAGCAGGGCGTCCGCACTCCCCTACGGACTGGCCCACTCCTTTCCACCTTCCTGACTTCACTAAAAAGTGTGTTTTGTTCTCATTTTAATTTCATGGGTTGCTGGCAAGTTCCATCATCTGGTGTCCTTGCGAGCTCTTTGGGTTCCCTCTTTGAGAATAGTCTGTTCACATCTTTACCCCTTTTCTGCAGGCTTTCCTGAGTCTGAGTTTGTCCTGCTGGTTTACATTCACTCCCCAGATAGAGGGTTTTGATTGTTTGGAAATCTGGTCTTCATCTGCCCCAAGACCCAGCCATGGGGACTGCACAAAACAGGGACCCCAGGTGTTCATTTGTTGCGAATTGTTGTCACACACCTTGTGGCTTGTATTTTGGGTCCTGCACGTTCTCTCCTCATTCCCGGGTCCCGAATATGTCCCACAGAAGTGTTCCCTTAGCTCCTTCTTCTTGCCCTCCTCGGCCCCATCTTTCATGTGTCCCTGCTCCTTCTTGGCATGTCTGAGGGGAGAAATGCAGCTTTTTCTTCCTCTGCATGGTGTGACTTGCCCAGCACCATCGACGAAGCAACCTTTCATCTCCCTGGTGTGCTTTTTGATGCCATCTTCTTAGGTATCAGGTCCTGAATCGGCAAGGATTTTCTTTGATTTTTAGTAACAGCTATTTTGAGCTATAATTAGCATACCATGTGGTATGCTTTTCAAAGTATGCAATTCAGTGGTTTTTAGTATATTCATGGAGTTGTTCCTTGGTCTCAGACCCCTGTCAAGTTCTGCACCTTCTCACCACCCGTGAGGAAGCCTGGCCCCTGGGCAGCCCTGCGCCCTGGCAGCCCTCCATGTCCTTTCTGTCTCTGTGGACGGGCTTGTCTGGACAATTCCTTCCCTGCATCAGCTGTTGAGGTGTCTTGTGTATTGGGGTATTTGCCCACTTCTTCACTAATACCAAGTTTTTATTTTCATTAGCTGTTTATGGTTTTCTAATGTGCATACAGTATGTAAATCATAAGTGGGTAGTTTGATGAATTTTCATAAACTGAGCTCACCTGTGAGACCAGCACCCAGATAAACCAGCTGCTCCAACCCCTGCCCATGCTGCCTGTCACCACCATCAGTCACTCGTGTTCTCTGCCCTACCAGTGTTTGCAGCTTATGCTTGTTTTGGCCCTAGCTTCTCTGCACAGCCCTGTGTCTGTGGCACCCACCCTGTGGCGTGGTAATGTGTGGCTGTACTGTGTTCATATGTCTGTTGCATGCGCACACACGTGTTCCCATAGGAACTGCCAGATTAGTGCACATGTGTTTAGATGGGGAGATGCTGCCGATGGTTTTCTTTTTTTTATTAAAGTATTGGTGATACACACTCTTATGAAGGTTTCACATGAAAAAACAATGTGGTTACTATATTTACCCATATTATCAAGTCCCCCCCCCATACCCCATTGCAGGCACTGTCCATCAGTGTAGTAAAATGCCACAGAGTCACTACTTGTCTTCTCTGTGCTACACCGTCTTCCCCGTGACCCCCGACACCATGTGTACTAATCATAATACCCCTCAATCCCCTTCTTCCTCCCTCCCCACCCACCCTCCCTCTCCCCTCCCCTTGGGTAACTGCTAGTCCCTTCTTGGGGTCTGGAGTCTGCTGCTGTTTTGTTCCTTCAATTTTGCTTCATTGTTATACTCCACAAATGAGGGAAATCATTTGGCACTTTTCTTTCTCCGCCTGGCTTATTTCACTGAGCATAATACCCTGTAGCTCCATCCACGTTGTTGCAAATGTAGGATTTGTTTCTTTCTTATGGCTGAGTAATATTCCATTGTGTGTATGTACCACATCTTCCTTATCCATTCATCTACTGATGGACACTTAGGTTGCTTCCATATCTTGGCTATTGTAAGTAGTGCTGCAATAAACAGGGGTGCATATGTCTTTTTGAATCTGAGAAGTTGTATTCTTTGGGTAAATTCCTAGGAGTGGGATTCCCAGGTCAAATGGTATTTCTATTTTTAGTTTTTTGAGGAACCTCCATATTGCTTTCTGCAATGGTTGAACTAGCTTACATTCCCACCAGCAGTTTAGGAGGGTTCCCCTTTCTCCACATTCTCGCCAGGATTTGTTGTTCTTAGTCTTTTCGATGCCGGCCATCCTAACTGGTGTGAGGTGATATCTCTTTGTAGTTTTAATTTGCATTTCCCAGATGATTAGTGATGTGAAACATCTTTTCATGTGTCTGTTGGCCATCTGAATTTCTTCTTTGGAGAATTGTCTCTTCATAGACTCCACCCATTTTTTAATTGGGTTATTTCTTTTTGGGTCTTGAGACATGTGAGTTCTTTATATATTTTGGATGTTAACCCCTTGTCAGATATGTCATTTACAAATATATTCTCCCATACTGTAGGACGCCTTTTTGTTCTGCTGATGGTGTCCTTTGCTGTATAGAAGCTTTTTAGTTTGATTCCATGTGTTCATTTTTGCTTTTGTTTCCCTCACTTGAGGAGATGGGTTCAGGAAGAAGTTGTTCTTGCTTATATTCAGATGTTTGCCTATGTTTTCTTCTAAGAGTTTTATGGTTTCATGACTTACATTCAAGTCTTTAATCCATTTCGAATTTACCTTTGTGTATGGGGTTAGACAGTGATCCAGTTTCATTCTCTTACATGTAGCTGCTTCCAGTTTTGCCAACACCAGCTGTTGAAGAGGCTGTCATTTCCCCATTGTATGTCCATGGCTCCTTTATCGTATATTAATTGACCATATATGGTTGTGTTTATATCAGGGCTCTCTAGTCTATTCCATTGGTGTATGGGTCTGTTCTTGTGCCAGTACCAAATTGTCTTGATTGCTGTGGCTTTGTAGTAGAGCTTAAAGTTGGGAAGTGAGATCCCCCCTACTTCTTTCTTCCTTCTCAGGATTGCTTTGGCTATTCAGGGTCTTTGGTGTTTCCATATGAATTTTTGAACTATTTGTTCCCGTTTGTTGAAGAATGCTGTTGGCATTTTGATAGGGATTACATTGAATCTGTAGATTGCTTTGGGTAGGATGGCCATTTTGACAATATTAATTCTTCCTAGCCAAGAGCATGGGATGAGTTTCCATTGTTTCCATTGTTAAATTAAAGAGTTGTCCTCTTTAATTTCTCTTAAGAGTGTCTTGTAGTTTTCAGGGTACAGGTCTTTCACTTCCTTGGTTGGGTTTATTCCTAGGTATTTTATTCTGTTTGATGCAATTGTGAATGGAATTGTTTTTCTGATTTCTCTTTCCGGTAGTTCATTGTTAGTGTATAGGAATGCCACAGATTTCTGTGTATTAATTTTGTATCCTGCAACTTTGCTGAATTCAGATATTAGATCTAGTAGCTGCCAATGGTTTTCCAAGCGTGTCCTGATTTGTCCTACCACCAGCCCCTTCGGACTGTCCAGTTGCCCTAGTCCGCACTGTCTGGTGCAGAACCACCCTATGTGGGTCTGTTGAATCTATACTCTGACAGCTCGAGCCTCTCAAACGCTCCCTGGCTTCAGGTGTCAGACCGTGTGGCTCACAGACATCCTCCTCAGCTGTGGAGCTTCCTGCTGTCCCATCTGGTCTGTGCCCCTCAGCAGGGCCTCAGGGCTGTAACAGCACCCTCCTGCCAGCCCTGACCCTGCACCTTCCGTCTCTGCTGGGGGTGGGGGCTGCTTTGTCCCAGCCCATTTCTCTTGTAGGCTGTCTTTCATTTTCTTACTGGTTAATAGGAGTTCCTTTGTGGGATGAGTGTATTAAAACAATTTTCTGCTCACCTTTCATTCTCTTAATGGTGTCTTCTGATGAATAGGAATTTTAAATTTTAATAGGGTCCATTTATCAGGTTTTTTTTCTTTTGTATTTAATACATTTTGTGTTCCACTTTGGAAATCTGCGTGTAAGATCAAACACTTCCCCTTTCATATTTATCCCTCTAGGGCTGATTCTATTGTCTGGAGTGAGCAGGGATCAAGAAACATTTTTTTTCCATATGGCTGCCTACTTGACCTGCCATATTTAATAAAAACATGCTTAGTGAATTTGTTCAAATAAAAGAAGCTTAAATGATAGATAACTGAAAATAATAGCAACCCACATAAAATTTGAATATGACTGTCCAGTTCCACGGAGATATGACGGGTCACCATTTATTCAGGCACAGAGCCACCCTTCCTCTGGGCTGTATGGCTGACATACTCTCACAGGCAAAGATCAGAGGTAGTCAACATTCTAAGTTTTATCAATTAAAAGCATGATTTTTAATGTTACATGATGGTAACAATAATATTCCACCCTAATGTGTGCATGTATTTATCATGGGGAGTACAGTTGGGTTTTATTTTTTAAATGAATATTGGTATCATAATAACTTGGCTTATTGATAAGTAGTAATAACAAAACAAAAATATAACAACCCATGTTAACATTTTATATAATAATATAATACACAGTATCTCAGGATGGACAAAAATTATCAGTATGTAATCATGAATAGTTTTATATTAGTTATACAGTTATAAGTTTAGGTAACTACAGATAGGTATTGTTAACTGCTGTTATTCTGGAATTTTTATGTCTTATTAATATGATAAGATAACTACAGAGATTTAAGTATTTTCCTATGAAACATAACCTTTAAAATGAGTGGAGATCGGTCTTCACGGCTCCTGGTAATAAGTCCCATCGTTCACTCTTCTCATGTACACGCTTCTGTGTTGTTTTGCCATATGAACGATGGCATTAAGGCTTAGCTGCTCTCCAGCCGCCGGCAGACCTGCTATCGCTAGGGGCTCCTTCCCCGCTGGGTGGCTGGTACCTTGGGTACAGTCGGCCCTCCCGCCCTGTCTGAAGCTGGACAAGCTGGATTTTGTCATCGTGTGTGGCTTGTGGGCACCCCCAGCAAGAGCCCTGGGAGCGACAGAAGCTGGTTTAAATCGGCTATTGCAGGCTCTTTACTCCTCAGCTTCAGGCTTCATGGAAGAGGGACGTGTGGCCTTGACCCGGTGGGCCCTCACACTGGGAAGTGCCGCATGGCAGCTGCCCTCTCACACTCCTACCCCAGAGGGAGAAGCACCATCCTGTGTTAGTGCTGACGGTTCTTCCTGAGGCACGAGTGGCAGAGTGTGGCCCGCCGTAGCATGCAGCTCTCTGAGCTCTGACAGATACGCACATGGGCGATGTCACCGGGACCCCACGCCTCAGGGGTTCTTGTTCACACCGTGCATGGGGATCCAGTTGTGTTGCATGCGGCTGCAGTCACGGCGCGGGAAGCTCACGTCTTTCCTGCTGGTGCAGGTGTTGGTGCGTGGCCTCGTGCAAGTTCTAGAACAACCCTGAGCAGCAGGCGCCATGAGTGCTGCGCTTTGGTTAGATAGAACCGCAGCTCAGATAGGTCATTTGTGCATGTGGCCTGGCTGTGATGGGCCTGGGGTGTGGACCCAGATGTGTTTGACCCAAAGCTCAGATCCATCAGCGGAATTCACAGTACCTGGTCTGGAGGTGTGCTTGTGCTGGGTACCTGACACATCAAGAGGTTGGCTGTGGCTCGGAGAAAGGCATGCAGGCACAGGGGCTTTGTAGTGAGACGCTAGGAGCTCGAGTCTTATTTACCGGGGTTCATGCTGCTTAGGTTTCGGGGAGTGCCGGCCGGCCCCCAGTGGCTGCATGTGGGACGCGTGACTGGGCGAGCCAGCACGCTGTCCTGAGTCCTGCGCATTTGTAGGGAGCACAGCAGGCGCCACCTCAGAGCTGAGGACGGCGCGTGACCAAGCCAGGGCCCTCCTACATGCAGACGAGCACCCCGGGAGCAGCGTGGCCAGCAAGGTAGGCAGCCTCTCCCCCTTGTGCTCTGCCGTCCCCATTGCTGGTGGGACACCCCCCACATCCTTTCCCTGTGACGTTCTTTCTGTGATTTTTGCAAGTCCAAGAGGAGCGCGACTGTTGCTGAGACCCCTTCTGCCATCTTCCACTACTTGGGGAGCAGCTCAGACGACGCAGACGCCATCTTCAGAGCCGCCAAGCAGGACCTGCTCACACTGATGAAGCTGGACGTAAGTGGCCCTCCTCCCTTCTCTCAGGCTGGGGTGAGCAGGGAGAGGGCCACAGTCTCTTGAGGGATGGATGGGCTTCTTACTCTCTCCACAGACGTTGTCCTTCGTGAGACCCACATCTTTCAGGCAGCACTTCCCGGGGCCGGGGGTGGTCAGAGCCCCTGCCTGAGGCACGACTCCCTTTGGTGGGGCTCAGGATGGCGTCTCACGCTGGTGGCCTGGCAGACCATCTCCCCTGGCTCTCTCTGAGTGTGCCGTGCATATCAGCTCTGGTTGACTTGGCCTCTTCCGGGTGCCTGCAGGTGGCAGGGGGACTGTGAGTTGCGTGCATTCTGCAGACTTTGAACTCTGACTGTCGTCAGCACGTGTACATTTATATTTATCCTTTTCCCCCCTTACATTTTAGACAGTTGTGAATGCCTTATATACAGGAGAGAGTTAGTACCCATGAAACCACCACGCCTGGGACTAGACCATCAGGAGCTCCTGGAACCAGCTGTGTGCCCTCCGTGGCCACAGCTGTTCCTCCCAAGAGCAGCTGCTGCCCTGCACCTGTGTGGCCGGTGGCCAGTGACTCATCTTTGTGCCAGGGCTGCAAGCGCTGCCCATGTCGCGGCCATGTGGGCCCGTGCGTGCACGTACCCTGCATGTCCGTCCCATGTCCACGCTGTGGGAGGGACGTGCATCTGGCTCTCGGCTTGGCTGTCCTCGTCCACCTGTGAGCTCCCAGGGCCCTGCATCCATGCCAGCAGTTGGGTTTCCAGACTTCCAGTCTGGATAAATTAGGGATGTATGGCATGACTTCTCGCTTGGTCCCCTTGATCACGGGCAGGGTAGTCGGCCTTCCATGTTCTCTTTGCTTCATCTGCCTCTTGGGAGGCAGCAGCTTGAGCCTTCTGCCCATTTTTCTATCTTTCCTTTTTCACTTTTAAGATTTCTTCATGTTTTCTGAACAAGTCCTTGGTTGGTTACGGCTCTTGCACTCAGTCTACCATGGGATTTGCCTTTTGGCCCCGTGTGGTCTGGTGGACGGCAGCCCTAATTTCAGTGCAGTGAACTCAGTCTTCTCCTTTATGTTAGTGCCTTTTGCACCTTGCTTAAGAAACATCTTGAGAGCAGCATTTGCCCTTTTTAGATCCCACGTCCCTGCTTGAGACACTCCGTGCTTGGGGATCCATGCTTCCCTGTGCCATGGGGCCAGGCCCAGGCCCCGCAGGAAGGAAGCCGCTTGCCCTGTGTGTCTGCATTGGCTGTAATCAGACATTGCTTTGGTTTCTCATAAAAATTTTTTTTGTATTGTTTGACTGTTTTGCCATTCTTAGACTCAGGTGCAGATGGAATTCATTTTTGTGCAGGGTACAGGGAGGGACTCGGATTGTGTCTGTTTTGGCCTGTGGAGGTCTGGTTGGCCAAGGACCATTCCTGGAAAGCCTGGCCATCCCACAGGCCACTGTGCCTGTCACAGACCAGGGCTGTCTGGGTCCTCCATTCCATTGTCTCGCTAGTTTTGGGCCACACACGGCAGTGCAGCCACCAGGCGGCCCTCCGAGGGCCAAGCAAGAAGTGGGGACAGGCTTTCTCCCCATTCCCTCCTGGCTCCCATGAGCCTCCCTTCCTGGCCCTGTGGCCAAAATGGAGGGACTTTCTCATGAGGTCTGTGACCTGTGCCCTGGCACAGCACAGCACCCACAGCTGGGGCAGTTTCCAGGTCAGAGCTGGGGCGCACAACAGGAGGGAGCGCATCCGGGGACCTCCCACTGCACACACTGCCCTGAGGCTGTGGGTCTGCCTGCCCACCGCTGCCCTGCCCCCGATGGTGAGGACAGCAGCCATGCCTCTGCTCTGAGGGAGGTGAGCTGCAGTGGGCTGGCTGCCGTGGGTCTCCGTTCTCGAAGGACATCTCAGCAGGTTAAATTCCGGGTCCTGTGCTGCCAACAGCCGTCTCCGGCCCCCTTGTTGCTGCCCAGACTCCTCACGGGGAACCACTGTCTGTGGCAGCTAGAGCCTTACTTGTGTTTTAAGTAGGAAGACTTGAAAATCAACATTCCTGCCTGTTGTGGCTGAGGGGCAGACATCATATCAGCAGCTTGAAGGCGTGGCTGGCCTTGCCCTCCTCAGGGCCCCTGGGGACAGTGCTGTCAGTGAGCAGCGGGTCTCTGCAGGGGACTCGAAGTGCTCGCCAACCGTGTGGTGAACAGATGTGCTGGTGTCCAGGCTGCGCTGTTACAGAGTGCAGGCGCAGTGGGTTCAGCACAGTCAGGTCTGTTTGAAGGTTCGGTTTTAGGTGTAGTTTGAAAGGTCCCAGCTTTCCTGGGACGGTCAGGGAGCCCCGGCTCCAGACTGAAGCCCCCAGCTGCATGAGCCCCTGATGAGAGCCGGCCTGTGCTTTAAAGCCAGGTGCTGACTTCCCTCTGGCTGTGAAAGTCCGAGATGGCCCCTTCGTCCATCTCGTCCTCTGAGAAGCTGCTGCTGAGTGTGGGCGCCTTCTTAGCCGCCTCAGCAGCGCGCTGGGCGGCCTGTGCAGCGTCTCCGCCAGCCTGGCTGCTTCCCCCGCACTGGGTGGCGTGCGGAGCTCCCTCCCCTAAACCTCAGGAACCCTCCTCTGCCAGTTGCCGGCTTTTCCCCCACAGCCCCTCCTGTCTCTCTGCCTTCACAGAGCTGAGGAGAGCTGGAGCCTTGCTCTGATGAGGCTTTGCCTGAAGGGACTGTTGTGGCCGGTTTGCCCTGCTGTCCCGACACTCACACGTCCTCAGCAGGGAGGCTGCTTCGCTCTCCTGTCATTCCTGTGGTTCCTGGAGCAGCACTTTTGGTTCCCCCCCTCCCCGGGAACTTCTCCCTTGCACTCACACTTGCCTGGCCGGTGGGTGCAAGAGGCCCAGCTTCCAGCCTGTGGTAGTTTCTGACATGCCTTCCTCACTGAGCTTAATCATTTCCAGCTTTTGACTTAAAGATGACTCTTGCTTTCACTGGACACTTAGAGGCCAGTGCCAGGGTATTGACTGGATCTGGTCTTGGGCACCAGGGAGGCCTGGGGGAGGGAGGGGACTCCGGTGAGTAGGGCAGTCAGAGCTCACACTGCTCGAGTTCAGCATCTCATGTGGGTGCGTTTGTGGTGCCCCGAAACAATGACAATGGTGACATCAGAGATCACTGGTCACAGACACCATAACAGATGCAATCATAATGAAAAAAAGTTTGAAATACTACCAAAATGTGACACAGAGACACAAAGTGAGCAAATGCTGTTGGAAAAGTGGTCCGATAGTCTTGCTCAGCGCAGGGCTGCCGCCAACCCTCAGTGTGTGACTGCACGTCTGCGAGGCGCAGTGAAGCAAGGCGCCTGCGCGGTGCAGGGAAGCAGCGAGGGGTCGTCCGTGCCTCGTTTCTGATCATGTGGGGAAGCTTCGAGCTCTTCACCCCATGTATGATATTAGCAGTGGGCTTTTTGTAGATGGTCTTTATCAAGTTGTGGAAATTCCCTCTTTATCTAATTTACTTCACAGTTTTTATTATGAATGGGTGTTTTGTCAAATGCTTTTTCTGCATCTACTGATTGGTACAGTCATGTATCAATCAGTGATTTCTCTTCTTTTAGCCTGTTTATGTGATGGATAACATTAATTGATTCTCTAATGTTGAACCAGCCTTGCATACCTGCGATTAATCCCATTCATTTGTGGTATATAATTCTTTTGTATGTTGTTGGATTCGATTTGCTAATGCTTTGTTGAGACTTTCTGCATCTGTTCGTGAGAGAGGCCGAGCCACAGGTTTCACATAATGTCTTTGAATTTGGCATCAGGGAAATGCTGCCTCGTGGGATGAGGTGAGAACGTCTCCCTGCTTCTGGCCTGACTCCTCCTTGAATGTCCGCTAAGATCTGCCAGGGACCCACCGGGGCCTCTGCTCTGGAAGGTCGTTAGTTGTTGACTGACCTCCTGCCCGAGCTTTGGCATGCCGCCTCTTCCAGGTCTTCACGCTGGTGGTCACGCCAGTGGGCGTGGCGTTGGTCACGGCGCTCCGCTGCTGTCCGTCTGGTGCCCACGGCCTCACGGTGGTGTCCCCTCTTTCATTTCAGGCGTTAGTGACTCATGTCTGTACTCCTTTTTCTTAGTTAGCCTTGTTCTAGAAGCTTATCAATTTTTTCAGTATTTTCAAAGAATCAGCTTTTTGCTTGTGATTGTTCTTTATTAATTTCCTGCTTTCAATCCTATTGATTTCTGCTCTGATTTTTATTTCTTTTCTTCTGCTCACTTTGGATTTAATTTGCTTTTCTTTTTGTAGTTTCTGAAGGTGGAAACTCAGATTATGGATTTTAGATATTTTTTTCTAATATATGCAGTGAATGCTGCTATAAATTTCCCTCTATACGCTGCTTTTTTTGGATCCCACAAATTGTGATAAGTTTTATTTTCATTTTCATTTAGTTTGAAATATTTTAAATTTCTCTCTTGAGGTTTCTTCCTTGACCCATGTGGTATTTAGGAGTGTGTTGTTTAATCTCTAAGTACTTTGGGGTTTTCCACCTACTTCTTTTATTGATTTCTGGTTTAATTCCATTGTGGTCTGACTGTGTGATTTTTATTGTTTTAAATTTGTGAAGATGTGTTTTTTGACCAGGATGTGGTCTGTCTTGTTGAACGTTCCACACAAGCATGAGAAGACCGCTCTGCTGTCTCCGTATGAAGTAGTCCGTATGTGTCGATCCAGTTGACTGATGGTGGCGTCGAGTAAGTCCACGTGTCCTTTCTGATTTTCTCCCTCAGATCTTTCTGCCTCTGACAGGTGACTGCTGGTCTGCAGCCGCCTCTCCTGCAGCCCCATCAGTTTTTGCCACATGTATTTTTTTTTAATTTGCTATCATTACTCTACAATTACATGAGGAACATTATGTTTACTAGACTCCCCCCATCACCAGTTTCCCCCACATTCCCCATTGCAGTCACTGTCCATCAGCGTAGCAAGATGCTGTAGAATCACTCCTTGTCTTCTCTGTGTTGTACGACCCTCCCCACGCCCCCTCCCCCCCACATTATGTCTGCTAATAGTAATGCCCCCCCTTCCTCCCCCCCTTATCCCTCCCTTCCCAGCCACCCTCCCCAGTCCCTTTCCCTTTGGTGACTGTTAGT